GCCGCGGGCAGCAGGTTTGCAGCCGGAGCAGACCCGACGGCTCCGGGCCGCTGCGGCTGCCTCCTGCGGGAGTCCTCGGCCGGGAAGTCAAAGGGGGTGCAGGGAGGCCCCCCGGAGAGACTGCTGTCGCGCTTCGGGGAGGGTTGATGATTGTGACGCGAACGAGGAGGGTGGCGGTGGGAGCGCAGCGCGCGTCCCGGCGAGGACTCGGCCAAGCGCCAGACGCGGGCGAGGAGGAGGGGGAGGAAGGTGTGAGGCCCGACCGACCCCTTTTTCTCCGGCTTCGGCGTCCGAATGGCATGCTAGCCGCAGAGAAGTAGAGCACTGGGAGGGGCCGCTTTGATGAGAACCATGAGTTCAGTCTTGGACACGCTGAGGTTTGGATTTTTGTGTTTTTTCTGAGATGCTCAACTGAGGCTTGAAGCTCAGAGAACGCCGGACTGGCCTCCCTCCAGGAAATCTTGCTTGGCGCCGGTGCAGACTCGCTTGGCTGTCTGTCCTACCGCCATTCCCTCCCTCTTACACTCTTCCAGAGCCTGTATTTTGTTCAGGTGGCCGCATTCCCCAGGGGAAGCTAGGCGCCTTCCAGCCTCGAACTTGATTCATCTTAAATTATTCATTGCGGCGGGGCTCGGTGGCTCCGCCTGTCATCCCAGCACTCAAGGAGGCGGAGGCGAGTGGATTGCCTGAGCCCACGGGGTTCCAGACCAGCCCGGGCAACTTGGCGAGGCCTCGTCTCCACAGTAAATAAAATATTAGCCAGGCGTGGTGGTGCGCGCCTGTAGTTCTGGCTACTTGGAAGGCTGAGGTGGAAGGATCGCCTGAGCCCAGCGGGTCGACGCTGGGGTGGCTGTGATTGTGCCACTCACTCGACAGAGTGAGACCCCAACTCAAAAAAAAAAAAAAAAAATTATTCATTGCACCTGATTCCGTTCCTTTGCCGGTGGTTGATGTAGAAATAGGCTGTGGAGCAAATTGGACACAACAGATCTCAGGGGAAGTATTCTGAGAAAGTTTTTCTTGCACCTAAAAAGAGATTGAGAAGCTATTTCGCCCACTTCTTCCCTACCTGTGTTCTTCTTTGTTGTGTGCAGAGGATGGGATGCCTGAGTTGTGGTTCCTGATTGTGATCTTGAGGATGGCAGAGCAGAAGGATAGAGAAAACCTAGATCCTTGCTGTTGTTGAGCTGCGGACTTAACCCACTGGGGAACCACCCCACTTCAGGCTTTTTCGGTAGGATGATACACGTAACTACTCTTAGTTCTGTTTGTTTCTTGCATCTGAAAGCATCTGGCTAGAGCATCTTGCTCAGGTGCTCCGTGACCAGCTTTTACTTCCCTTTAACAGCAAATGTAAACAAATTCTTAACCCAAAATGCCACAAAGTCTATGTTTTAGTTACCTCAATTTTTTGTCATTCCTAAGGACAACAGGGGTGATGCCTGTCCTATTCATTGCAACTTGCATTCCCCATGCCTGGAGTTCTAGGAGCTGTCAAGTAGGTTTTCAATAAGTATTTGTCAAATGACTGAAGAACTTAAGATATTTGGTCGTCATCTTCTTTGAGTCAGCAAAGATTAAAACCTGTATTTTCTATTCAAAAGAAACAAAACCAGACGTTCAAACAAAAACTTGGATATGAGTGTTAATAGCATGACTATCCACAAAAGCCAAAAAGATAAAAGCAGCTCAGGTACATATCACCTGATGAATGGATGAATAAAACGTGACACAACAAATGATAAATTGGCCATAAAAAGGAATGAAGTACTGATACATGTTACAACATGGATGAACCTTGAAAATGTGCTGAGTGAAAGAAGGCAAACACAAAAGGCCACATATTGTATGACTGCATTTATATGAAATGTATAGAATCCATAGAGACAGCAGATTCCTGGTTGCCAGGGGTGAGGGTTGGGAGTGTTGAAAATAGCTGATTAGTGGGGGTGGCCGTTTCTTTGGGGGTAATAAAAGTGCTCTGGAACTAGATAGTGGTGATGGCGGCACAAAATTGTGCATTAACTAAATGTCACCGAATCGTACACTTTGAAATTGTAAAAATGGTAAATTTTATGTATATTTGACTACAATTAACAACAAGCCAACCCCAAAAAGCATGTACTTTGGAGTCAGACCAAGGTTTGCATCCTAAATCTGCTACTCATTAGCTTTGTGACGTTGGACGCAATTCTTATTTCTGTGCCTCAGTTTTCTCATCTGTAAAATGGAGACAATAACGGTCCCTACCTCAGAGGGTTACTGTGAGGACTGGATGAGGTCATGTATATGAAGTGTTTGTGCATCCACGGTGCCTGGCACAGAGTCAGCCCCTGGTGAACATCATTGTTATTATCAACATAATTAGTATCATCACTGCCATTAATTTGAATCAGGGTTAAGAACAGTTAGACTCATAAAGAGTCTTCATCATCAGGAGGTCAGTGAAATTTCCAAAGATTCTTCCTGCACCTGCATCATCACGTGCACCAGAGACCACACTGTGAGAAGCAATACAAGCCAAAGTTGTCTCTGGCATCTTTAAACTGCACGTCACCAAACCACAACCCCACAGAACCAGTAGCACATGAGAGAAGGGTCCATTGTCTTCCTGCTGTCACCTGGAGTCAGCCCTCTTCCTTATTTTCTTCCTATTTTCCTTCCGGCATAGCCAAGCATGGCAAGATCTTAAAGCAGGCCCCGTAAGCACTGCATCCTCATTTCCAAGTCACAAATGCCCGAAATAGTTGTGAGAGAACCATTTCGGTTTCTTCAGGAATAAGAACACCTTCTGAAACACTGAAATGGAGCTTAGTCATCTCTGGCTCTTATTAGCTGCTGTGAGTTTCCTGCGGGGCGATTGATTACAACAAAATTTACCGATGATAATTTCTTAGGCAGGCTCACATTTTTTACTGACCATTTGCCCGCTGGGAGATTGCATCCTGAAATGCAGTCCTAAAATACAACTATGCCACATTAGCATGAGTTATTCACAACATTGTGTTTAATGTGGTCAGTTTAATAGGCTGACCTTTCGAATCATCTAAGATATAAAAACAGCCCTTAGTCATTATAATACCAAACAAACACACACACCCACACAGCATAGAAAAATAAAGCATCAAAAAAGCAGTGAAGCGTGGATGCTGAGTAATACCATCAGCACTTCCATGGTGATTATACAGATTCCAGTAGTTATTTATTACCGCCCATGGAAATACAGCAGTGCTAAACTGTATATGAAATGTAAATTACCATTAGATACTTAATAGAGGGGTTTCATTAAGAATAATAAGATAAAGTGCACTGAGATCTTCAAGATTGACTTGAAATTCAAGAACAACCAGTTAAGAGTTTAAAACATGTCACTTTATTACTTTGAATTACATGTAGGGAGCAACTCCTGGGTGAGGGCCAAGGAAGCGGGGCCAGGTCAAGCTGGAAAGGGTGTGAGTTCTTGTGAAGTGCCAAAGCGCTGCATTCCCTCTACTCTGTTTTGATTACTGCTGTCTCTTTGCTTACCTTTTCTCTTCTCTAAACTTAGGATGGTTATGATCTCTCTTGTGTTTCTCATATGGTTGACAAAACCAAGGAAATCAATTGAAAAAGATTTAAAAAAAAAACAAAAAACACTTTCATATTTCTACTTGCATAATATGGGCAAGAACTAAAATATTATTCCTAACTCCAAGAGGATCTGATTTGTGTTTTATGCCAGTTGAGTCAATTATGACAAGCTCAGTGGAGTTATAATTCCTGGTTTAGCTATTCCAAGGTTGACAAAGCGAATTCAAAATCGATTTCCCACAACAAATGAATAAAGCAAGTACACGATCTCAAATTTAAGAGTCTGTAGCTAGGTTCATGCCTATAATCCCAGCATTTTGGGAGACCAAGGTGGTAGGATCAATTGATGCCAGGAGTTTGAGACCAGCCTGAGCATCATAGCAAGACTACATCTCTACAAACAAACAAACAAATGAACAACAAACAAAATTAGCCAGGGGTGGTGGCCTGAGTTTGGAGTCCCAGCTACTCAGGAGGCTGAGGCAGGAAGATCGCTTGAACCCAGGAGGTCGAGGTTATAGTGAGCCATGATCTTGCTGCTGCAGTCCAGCCTGAACAACAGAGTAAAGCCCATCTTTAAAAAAAATAGTTACAGAAGCATAAACCATTAGTTAACAATCAGGATACTACAGGAGAACTTTTAGCAAGCCAAAATTCCTTGATGATGATCAGATACAGATGTTGTTTGGATGAATGAATTTCTTGTTTTGTGTACATGTGCTCATGACATAATTTTGTATGTGTTAAAAATAAAACAAAGTGTAAAACACTAATTAATAGATGAAAAGCTGATGGGCTGGACGCAGTGGCTCAAGCCTGTAATACCAGCATTTTGGTGGGCTGAGACAAGAGGATTGCCTGAGCCCGCGGGTTCGTGACCCGCCTGGGCAACTTGGTGAGACCTTGTCTCTACAATACAAATTACAAAATTAGCCGGCCATGGTAGTGTGCACCTGTAGTTATGGCTGCTTGGAAGACTGAGGTGGAAGGATGGCCGGAACCCAGCAGGTTGATGCTGGGGTGGCCATGAGTATGCCACTGCACACCAGCCTGGGCAACAGAGTAAGACGCTGACTTCAAAAACAAAAACAAAAGCTGATAAGATGCATGGTACATGATCAAATACATATGATACTGTTTTTTGTGAAATATTTATTCACTGATAATCATAACTGGATCTTACATAATGCTTATGAGGTGCTAGCCATCATTGTAAGGATTTTCTTACTGTTCATTTAATCCTTGCAACAACCTGATGAGGTAGATGCTTTTTTTTTTTTTTTTTTTTGGGGTCAGGGTCCTTACACTGCACTTCAGAGTGCAGGCTGGAGTGCAGAGGCACACTCATGGCTCACCACAGCTCCTCAACTGGGCTTAAGTGATCTTTCTGCCTCAGCTTCTCAAGTAGCTGGGACTACAGGAGCAAACCACCATGCCCAGCTAATTTTTAAATTTTTATGTATTTATTTATTTATTTTTGAGTTGGAGTCTTACTCTGTCGCCCAGGCTGGAGTACAGTGACACCCTCACAGCCACCCCAGCGTCGACCTGCTGGGTTCCAGCAATCCTTTGGTCTCAGCCTTCCAAGTAGCCAGAACTACGGGAGCATGCTACCATGCCTGGCTATTTTTCTATTTATTGTAGAGACAAGTTCTCACCAAGTTACTCATACTGGTCTCGAACCCATGGTCTCAGGCAATCCACTTGCCTCGGCCTCCCTTCGTGCTGGGAT